CTTGTTTTGGGTATAACTTAGCTGCCACTCCTGCCTTGCACCATCGGGTGTAGTCGACACGCCATAGGATTGCGGTTGTCTTAACTTCGCATTGTGGCAGCAGCATCATAGGGGAGACTAACAAGTTAAAAGTGATTGACTACATGCAGTGTAGAGCCTGGAGCAATCTTAGCCTAATTCACATGTCTTCTTGCATTGGCCTTGCACACCGCTGCACATCCAGATGACTTGTCCAACAGCCCAGCGCACATTTATGAAGGACCTGCAGCAGCTCTATAGGACAATCGAAGCCTCGACTGACGGCCAGGCATTCATCGTCGGCATCGATGAAATGTCGGTCAAGGTTTCCCTGCGACCCAAATCCGGCTACAACGCGCACGCAGAATTCATGCTAACTGTAAACTTCTTCAACGATTTTATAATATTTGTACTAGTCTGCAAATTTATCAGTATACTACCTCATTTATGCATAATTTACTAGTTAAATGTCAAAGGGACAGCCTTAATAATATTAGTAATGTGATTTTGCCGCATCTGCAATGCAAACGCTTTCATTAACAGTGCTTACGGCCCTAATTCAAATTATGTAACTCACGAATAACTTTCCAGAATTCTTACAGTACTTAAACCACACAACATCGCAAAGAATTCTCTACTTCACTAAAGACGTTTCAGCAATCACAACACTAAGAGTAAATAAAGTATCCATAATTTTAGATCAAGTGTCATTCCGCATATCCCAACATTCGTCCAGATGTCTCCTTCGACTCACCCATATTTCATCCCAATGTTGACCCATCAACTGGTTCCGTGTGTGTAAGCCTTCTCAACGAATGGCAAAGGTAAGTAGCACCACGTTAGTCGAAAAATTCCTGTGTTTTTACGGTTGCATGTAATGGTCAACACCTAGAATGAAATAAAACCAGCAGATTGTAAGTGCAATCGGCAAGTTCAAAGAAGGAATTAGAAGCGCTTCATTGTTCCAGCTAACGGGTTCGGATT